AATCTCTGAAGTACCACATAAAAAAATATTCCTATTCTCAAGGCAAGTTGCTTATGATATGTCTATTTGAAAAAGCATGAGAGTTTCTTGGATAAGTTTGCTGCTGTCATGCCAAAGGAGGGGAGATGGGGAGAAAGCAGTGCAGCGAAGTAAGTGCGCTTGAAATGGAGACATGGCTCGGCATAGGCGACTTACGGGGCAAGCTGGATATCGTTTCCGGGGTAAAAAGCAAAGAGATATCCCATGCTCGACCACCCTTGAATCTTGGCATTTTATGTTCAATAATTAGTTCTCAGTAAGTAAGTAAGCGTTTCCGAGATTGTTATCAGTTTATCAATACAACGCATCAGTACATTCAGTAAACAGGTCGACGTTTCTGCAGGGTCGCCTTTTCAAGACCTGAAAAGTGAGTCAATATATTCGATGCTTCAAGGGTAGACATACCTTCAGCGATACACTTCAAGTGGCTGTCCACCACTCTGACACTTATTCAGGCCAATATATGCTAACTTTTGTGATAGAATGAGGTTTCCTTCAAAGGTCAGACTCAAATCCACACAATGAGAATGGGACGAGCTCATTACTGATAGCCATTTTCTCTTCCTTTCTGTTCAGTCTAGGACATTTGAACGTGATCCAACAAGCCTCTATAGTTTTTCGTGTTGCAATATCGGTTTCTTTCGAAAGGATAGCAATGCTGATTTGAAACTCTATGTTCTGATGGCAAAGCACACTATGTGCCCAAAGGCGTGGACACTCGCGATCTTCTCATCCCGTCCAAATGTTCCTTAATTCGTACATACAGCGGTCTTCCTGTTTCTCCGATATATTCTTCCCGGTTTGCAAGATATCAAGTACACGGCGCCACACATGCAGTCTCCCGATTTGTTAGAACTGCATATATTACAGTCTGTTTTTGAACAGGCTGGATCGTATCTTCTGTTACGCACCAGGCGTTGCTTGAGGTTTGAGGGTGGGAGTTCGACAACTCTTAGCATATTTTGCAGGCCGGCTTTATTAACGCAGATTCTAATGGCCGCACTTAACTCATCAGATATGAATGGCATAAGGAATGACACCTTTTCGCTGCTGACATCATTGAAAACTCTAGCATTATCCTTATAACGAAGGTTTGTGTTTTCGTTTTTCGACAGCAGGTAACCTTTTGCTTGCGCAATTTGGATAGCTTGTTTGGTCGATGCGCATTCCAGAGCGCTATTTGAAGACATTCTTTTAGACGTTCGCAGCATATTTCTGATAATGCTGAGTTTCATTTAGATTGTGGTGCAGAGGAAAAATATACAAGCATATTTTTAATGGTTGCTTTTCTATACCAGCGTGTTCTGTATTCTCCTCTACATAAGCAGATCTGGACATTGAGGAACGGTAACCATCCCTGTTTAGGCGTCTCCCTTGTGAATTTGATGTCAGTCGATTGAGCACTGAGTATGTCAAAGCATAGATCCATTCCCAATTGAGTTGGACAAACGATGATGGTATCATCGATGTATCTGTAGTAAAGAACAGGTCGGCGGTTGAGATTTGGTTCTTCTATCTTTGACATAAATGCTATTGCTAAAATAGCATTTATGTCAAAGAACGCTGGTCCATTGAGAGTCCCGTAGTTTGTTTTTAAATATTGTCCCGCCCATTTGAAAACCGAACATTCTAAACATTCTCTCAAATGGGCGGGACAATATTATGAACAAACTAAGGGACTCGCAATGGGCAGCTGCACCTATTTTAGCAATAGCATTTATTAGGTTGTTGCATAAGTTTTATCCGATTTGAAATTCTTGACTTCAAAGGTCATAACTTCTTTCAAAATCAGCTTTTTCCCAAGATCTTAGTTTCTTTTTGTTGATCAATTCCTTGGCTATCAGAAGCATACTGAAACCTATGAAAATCCTTGTTAAGGAAGCAGCAAGAACTCAAAAACTTTAAAGCGTTTTTCTTCAAACCTTTCTTATTTGACATGGCAGTGCTCCCTTATAAGAATTGAAAGGCATCTTGTCTAACAATGGATAAATAGAGAATTTTTCATAGATTATTTTGCACCATAAAAGAGCCCATAGGGTCTGCGTTGCCGAGAGATTTCTTGAACGAACCAAAAATTGGCCACTGTTTCACCTCGCTTCAGCGCATGTGTGCATGACTATTTACAAATTACGAAAATTTTACAGTTGCCGTGAGCGTTAAAAAAAATTGGTGGATGGTCTCTGCTAGCCCTTGTTTTACGCTAGCACCTCCAACTTTGAAGTCGTCGATTACTTCTATTCACAAAAAGTTATAGCTTGTAAAACATCTATACAGAAAATTAATGTTTGACAATAAATTTTACTATCAAGACGTTTT